GAATGCCAAAGTAAATTGGCGTTGTTAAAATTTATAGTTATTTTCTGAGATACCGAAATGTCAGTGACGGTCATGAAGTAGCTAAGCATTTTTATAGTATTTATGGGCTATACAACTTTTTACACATTCAAAAAGGTGACATTTGTTTTCAAGTCCGTATTTAAATAGAATATCAAACAATATTCCTTTTTAACTCTAAACATGAAGAGATCATGGTGACATTTTTTAAAATTTTCTCCCATATTTTGTGACGGTCCTAGTTCCTGGAGTTTTCAGTATTTTAACATAGTTCGTGTTTCCCCATCTACAAATTTATTGAAACTGGTCCCCCTTCCAATTTTATGATATATACTAGTATGTAGCTGTTTACATTAGAACTGTTAATCATATATGCACAAAAAGAAATGTCATAAGATGTGGGAACGTTTTCGTGATTAATTCATCACCATATTTTCATCATATGCTATTAGATAGACGTTTTTCGTGTCAATACCAATCAAACACTATCCAGTTACGATTATCTTCTTATTTATTAATACCGAAATTACGATTATCATTCTTGCGAGTTACGATTATCATCCCGAATTTTTCGACGGCAATTTTCTAAGCGCTTAGACAATTATAGTGCACCGTTACGATTAAAATATGATGTAATGGTATAGAAAAACCTTGCAGCTGAGTAACTCTTGACAACAACGGGCTACATTTGAGAAAAATGACTGAAAAGATTTTACCTATTTCTGCCGTCGCCATATTGGGATCGTCGTAATTCCAGTTACGATTATCAGTTTAACACCAGTGATCAATGAGTATCAAGTGAAAAAAGGTATTCAAATATATTATGGTTATCGGCTGATGCACTCGTTATATATTTATAATCGTGTATACAAATATTACTTGTGAATGAAATAAGCGACAACATACACATGTTCTGTTTGTCAGCGTTCTCCTTGGCATATGTGGGGGATCATTGGAATTTAAGGTAGTCATTGGAATTTAAGGTAGTGGACCTTACACACGATCACAGCAATACAACAATAAACTGGCCCGGAAATCCAGAATACAACTTTACAATCCTATCCCGTGGGAAAACAGCCGGTGGATTTTTTTTCATCTTGAGGAGTGTGCAAAATTTAGGAAGGGGTATTTTATAACTTAAGGGTCGACCATTTAATGTTCGGGGGAGGGGGAGGGTGCAATTTTTTTTCAGTTTTGTAAACATTTGTTTCCTGTTATTTGTGTTGCATAATATTCATTTACTCCTGTCTTTGTGCAAAGTTATTAATTTTCAGTTCTTTATAGGCCAAATTATTCATTTTCACCCCCTGCAAATCAAGTGGACGTCCCTTTATCATATCTGATTCTTAATATATTTGCTGCAAGCCGTACACAGCCCTTCTATGTAATGAAGATAAGTGTATATTTCATGTCATTGTGTAATTGTGTTATCAAATCTTTTTGTTTTGTCTACAAGTTTGGTTTTAACATAATAAGCACCAATCTCAATAGAAACTGTGCGGTCATGATGTTACCCAGGGGCGGATTCATGGGAAGCCGTAGCAGGCGTGTGCCCCCCTTTATTTTTTTGGCATCGGAATGAAAACAGCAAATAAATTTCAGCCTCGCTCCGCTCTGCAAAATTATCAAGGTTTCGCCTGCCCCTAACCACAACTCCTGGATCCATCCCCTGGTTACCCATTCTAAAATATTAGTTGTCACCTTTGCGTACTGAAAATTTAAACCTGTTCAACCGTCCAAACATTCACTGGCCAATAATGCAATCGAAGCGAATCGAATGTTCCTTTGAAAACTGTTGATGTGTGTATACATGAATGTTTAATTCAATTAAGCTTTCGCTAAGCTATTTTTGATCGGTCGTATCATTTTTTGTTACCAACTTTAGGGTATTTTACGTTCTTCAACAATGAGCAAATCCTATACCGTATAGTAAGCTATGAAAAGCCGCGGAACAAAAAAAAAACAAAAAAAAAAAAAAACAGCTTCCTAATTTATGCTAAATACAATTAACCAGAGACATATAATACAATATTATATGTCTCTGAATTAACTTACAAAAATATCATTATGTACAACAACCAGTAAATCACAATCTCCTGATTTGGGACGTGCATTATATGCATATGAAGAATGTCGCGCTGATAACGAGGATGTTAAAACATTATGTCTATCTATCACAGTGTATTCAATAACAAAGTATCCAGACGCACTGTTTAATTCTTAAATTTTACCAATATTTGTAAAATTGTTGAATTTCTTTAAACTTATTTAATATTTAGATTCTTTAATATTCAATTGTGTTAGGTTTCATCAACCCATTTTTACTCCTTGAAAAAAAATCAAGTGAAATTGTTCCTACCTCTTTTATTGTCAAGCCTGCGAAATTTATTTCGCGAAAGCGAGACATAGCGATCCCAGATTCCGTCGTCGGCGTCGGCGTCAACATTCAGGTTCAGTCTCGTTGTTAAAGTTCTTTAGACATCAATTACCTTGTCAAACCTACATGGAATTTTGTGAAATTTGGACAGAAGCTTGTTTATGACCAAAATACAGTATCAAGAGCAAAATTTTGAAAATATTTATTTTTATTTTTTCTGTATTTTACTGATAAATGCATGGACTTAGTTTTTTTTTCAGTTAACATTCAGATTTAGTCTGAGGTGAAAGTTTTTCTAGTCATTAAAGTTTTTCTGTCATTAAAGTTTTTCAGTGATCAATGACTTTGTTAAACCTTCATGGAATTTTATGAAAATTTGGACAGAAGCTTTTTTATGACCAAAAGACAGTATCCAGAGCGAAATTTTTAAAATATGTATTTTCATTTTTCCGTATTTTACTGATGAATGGACTTAAGTTTTTTTTTACAGTAAACATTAAGATTTAGTCTGAAGTTTTTCAGCCATCAATTGCTTTGTCAAACATTCATAGATATTTAAGAAATTTGGACTGAAGCTTGTTTATGACCAAAATACAGTATCCAGAGCAATTTTTTTTAAAATATTTATTTTCGTTTTCCGTATTTTACTGATAAACGGATTAAATAAGTTTTTTTTTACCTATAACAAGTTGATACAGTCTGGGTTAAAGTTTGTTATACATCAATTACTTTGTCAAACATTCATAGAGTTTTATAAAACTTTGGCAGAAGCTTTTTAATGATTAAGAGATAATGTCGGAAGCAAACCTTTGAATTTTTTTTTTTTATTTTTAGTATTTTTCATATAGATGGACTTAGTTTTTTACAGTAAACATTTACAGACAGTCTGGTATTATATATATTTTTTTACATAATAAATTTGTAAACCTTCATGGATTGTTATGAAACTTGGACAGAAGCTAATCTTTAAAACCAAGAAATAGCATCTAAAGAAAAAGTATTTTTTTAATTCTGTATATTACTGATAAATGGACGCACTTTTTAAGTGAACATAACACTTTTACACTGACAGCAGCAATCACAGGCGAGACACAGGGTTCCGCGGAGCCCCTTATGAATTAAAAAAAAATGTATTATTTTGCTACTATAGCATCAAACTTGCCCACACCTGTATATTTCTTTATCTTTGTGGATAGGCATTATGGCCAATTCGATTTGCCGATTTCTAATCATACTGCATATGAATATCCCTAAAATGATATATGTAACTTTTATAATTTCCGAGGTATAGCAAAATTTAATTGAATATCCGTAAAGTAGTTGCACAAACTTATAAAAATACTTGTAAAAATCCGCGAAACTTTTTGCAATTTTGACTAAACCTATTATTGCACAAAATCCCGTCTAACGAATTCTCTTTAAGATTGATACGATATTGCCATTGAAATTTCGTTTCATTGATATATAGTTGCAGGGGGTCACCGAAAGTATTTTTATCAGTGGAAACTGGTAGATGTGACGTTGTGATGTTGTGCTTCAAAATCTTACTTTTCGACCTTTTTTTTTTTTAGATATTACACGAATTCGATAACCCTATAAATTTTAAACAAATAAAACTATAAGTTCATTGTCAATAAAAAAAAACTACTATTTTTGGTCGGGATGAACAAAGTTCAAAAGCAACTTAAAGTGCGGTGATATCGTGCAGGTTTCGGGCTGATGGGTGCAGACAGTCAGGGGGAAAGTGGTTACCTAATTTATTTGTGTAATCAAATGCTCCTTCAGTTTTCAACCCAGATCATTGAAACTTCATAGGAAGATGTACATATGCTGAAGTTGTGTACTTGCTATTATGGAATTGTTTGAAGATTTTTTTCTCATTTTTCAAGACTTGGAAACTTAGTAATTTTTTTCAGCAGAAATGAGTTCACGTTTTGTGTAATCAACTTCTAAAGTTTTCAGCCCAGATCACTCACAAGAAGATTGCACATATGTTGAAGTTGTGTACTACATTTGTAAGCATCATTCATTGACAAGTCAAAAATATTGCAACCCGGCCAAAAGACTTTGACCCATTTTCAAGGAAAATGTGTATGACAAGTTTTTAATAAAGACAATACGACGTCAACAATTCAATATTTTTTGCGATGTTTTAAGTGCATTCTATATTTTTGCACTATCTGCAGGATATTCAATTTGCTTTTTTTTTTGGAAAATACAAAAGTTGGATATATAATTTTTTCGATACCTCATTTTTCTTTGTGTTTGATTTCTAGTTACTTGCAAAATTAAAAAAAGAAAAGAAATAAGAAGAAGATATTGCTGATACGCATCCATGATACCTGAATTTAGAACGTAATCACTTGCCGTATTTGTGTACTATTTTCATTATTAAAAATCAGTCGAATTGAAAAAAAATGAAGTGTCCCAATATGCTTCAAAGTTCTTTGGAAAAGTAGGTGTTATCAGAAAAGTGATATATGTAAGTATTTTTAAACCTAATTGGGCGTGGAACAAATGACTACATAACTTAGGGTTATTCGGAAGTTCTAGTTAATACTTTTCTACTATTTTAAATCAGATTCATTTACCTTTTAAAGGTTAGAAATGAACTACTTTGGTACCGCGGAACATGCTGGAACACATCTAGATTCACCTGCACATTTCTACAAAGATAGAAACCGAACCCACAACGTTCCGCTAGAAAATCTGATTGGTCCGGGAGTAATAATTAACGTCAAAAATAAAGCTGCGATGAATGCCGATTATCAAGTATCGATTGATGATTTAAAACAATGGGAAAGCATGTACGACAAAATTCCGGAAAACGCAATTATCATTATGAATTCAGGCTGGCACGAGCATTACCCGAACGCATCCCTTGTGTTTAATACGGACAGTCTTACTGATTCAAGTACATTTCACTTCCCCTGCTGGCATGAAGATACCATCGAATGGCTTATCAGTGAACGTTCAGTGAATGTCGTTGGTGTTGATACGCCGTCAACTGACTTTGGACAAACTCAAAACTTTGCAGTTCATATTAGCTTAGGAAAAGCCAATATTTCGGGAGCAGAAAATGTTGCAAATCTGGACGCTATTCCAGAATCTGGAAGTATGATTTTTGTAGCCGTGACCAAGATATACGATGAAAGCGGAGGTCCTGCAAGAATATTTGCAACTATTCCCATGAAGGTTACAAGTTTTGGATGGACATTCGGACCTAGTTTTGTATTGTTTTTGTCCGCTTTGTGCATATTTATCCCATTGATAGCTTACCTGAGCCAAAGGGCCAGGTAAGCTTTTGCAATCACTTTGCCGCGGCGTCCTTTAGTCAGTCGTTCGTAAAATGTTATTTAAAAAATCTTCCACTCCGAAACCGCTCAGGAGATTCAGTCGTCTTGATGTACATGATATCTACCATATAGAACACCCTACGCGACTACCATGCTAAATATAACATATGGTTCAAACTGTAGTTTTGTCTAATATTTAGAAAACTATGCTGCATGCAGTCTGATCTTTAAACAAAAAACAAAGAAAAATGCTTCAAAGAAAAACCTTTTCATGTACATACCATGTATGTTGTAATGTGAAATTGTGATTTAATGGGGAAAATGCCTCATGCCACGAAGAATAAAAAGTTTTGACATCTTCAAGTAAAAACTATACTTTATTCTGTTTAAATCCACATAGATTTTTTTTAATTCAGCATAAATTTTAAATCAAACAGTAAAAATATTTAGTCTAGATAAATAAAATTCTGAAAAAAATGGATTATTTTATTTCACTTCATGTTGGTACCTATAGCAACTAACGAAAACCTGGCACGATATAATGGTTAGCATGACAAGCTCTATCTATCGCAAAAATGTCAGAAAATTTTGTCAACCTGTTTTCCATTCATTGCATCTAAATTGTTTATTTTAAGCTTTTTTTTTTTGTTTTGCAGTTCTTGTCTGGTTGTCTTGAACACTTTAAAAACTAGTATACATTATTGTTTAGGGGCGAGTTGAATCCCACCTCCGGATGCGGGATTTTCTCGCTGTATTGAAGACCCATTGGTAGCCTTCGGCTGTTTTCTGCTTTTTGGTGAAGTTGTTGTCTCTTTGACGCATTCCCGTTTCCATTCTCAATTTTATTAAAAGAGTAAATTAAAAAAATGATCAACATGGCAAGTTCTATCTATTTTAAACATCTCAAGAAGAACCTTGCTACCCTAGTTACTGCCCCTCAAAGATTTTACCGATAACCAGTTTTTGGCTGCTATTGAAAAAACTAAAGGAGTTAGATTAAAAGTGTCATTGTAAAATCTATCAGCATGTACGAGATGATCTATCTACTTTGAAAATGTCAAGAATTTCCGACAATTTGTTTTCGAGTTCTTTCCCCTATATTGTGCAATTTTTACTTATTTTCGCAGTTTTTTGCTTTTATCTGAACAACTTAAACAGGTAGAAAACTATAAACATGACGAACTCTATCTTACTTCATAATTTCAGACTTTTGGAGTTATTGCCACTGGTAGATTGCTTTTAATTGTATCTGGTCGATATGGTGAGAAAGTATACGTGATATATTCAAAATCTAAATTGCAAAAATTATCAGCTGAAAAAGATCTTCCACTATATAACCTTGAAATTTCAGAGAAATCCCCCCCCCCCCCCCCCCTGAAATTTCAATTTTTAACGATTTATTCAGTATTTGGCTGTTATAATTAAGTGAAATAACTATAAGAGCTAGGTTAAAAGCGCTAATTGTAAAAGTTATCAAGAGGACATGATCTTTCTACTCCGAAATTTTCTGAAAAATCCGACGACCTGTTATTAGATATTTTATCCCTGAAATATTTGTTGTTACTGATTTTTGTAGTTTTTTGCTATTATCTGGAAAACTATGGGTTCTAAGTTAACGTGTCAATAGCGAAAACAAGCAACAATACAGTATCTATCGTCCCTGAAAGTTTCAGAAATATGTGACAACCAATTCTGGAGTAATTGTCCATGAAATGCTGATTTTTTGGCAATTTTGTCGGTTTAAAAAAATTAAAAACCAACAAAAAACCATGAGAGCTAATAAGTTTTAAAAAAGTGAACATACCGAAATTTTATCCGCAAGGCAGGTATTACGAAATCAAAAGTAGGTATGTGAAAATACTGCAACTTGGTCGTAATATATTACCTATAGTCACAGCTGATCGATTCAGGCTTCTTGGAGCGTTTAGTTTTATCAAAAACTGCATGTTACGTGAATTATAATTCAATGGATATTTTAATAAAGATAAAAAAAAAATTGGATATCTTTTAATTAATACGTCATTTCTAGTTTTGTTAAATAACATTATAAAGGCAACAGCATCGTATACAAATTGTGACAAAAGACATCCGACTCAGTCATTGTTAGTGAAATGTATTTTTCAATTATTATAATAAAATAAATCGGCAAATAAAGTTCATTTATAGTTGATGGTTAATTTCAACTTGAAAATTTTTGCATCAAACATGGAATTTACCTTTCAATAGAAATACTTTTTTCGTTATTTCTAATTCATGAGATGTTTTGAGAAAAAGTAAAAGCAAACGACCTTTTTGTTCCAGGTGAGCGTTTGTCGCCACTTAATTTAAACTGATGTAAGTGCGATTTTTTTTCTAAATGAGAAAACGTTAAATTTTAAATAGCTTTTGAATGAAACAAGATAATACTTCAAAAAAAGCACTCCCATAGAGTCACAGCTGAGTGATTCATGCTCATTGGTGCGTCTATTTTTTTTAACTTCTACGTGAATTATAATTAAATGGATGATGTTTTAAAACCTTATAACTATTCTATATTACAAAGGTTTCAGTATCGTATTTATGACAATACATTGAAAAATAAATAAACTCATCATAAATATCTGGATTAACATTTTTTACGCAAGACCTGGGACTATTATACCAGTATAATAATCCCAGGCCAGACGCGCGTTTAATCTTATCAGTTACGCTCGAATCAAAAAGTTAAAAAAAGCCAAATAAAGTACGAAGTTGAAGAGCAAGATGGAAATTCTTTTATAAAAGTCCAGTCATACATTATAACTTTGATTTTTTTTATTTCAGATTGGCTATGCTGTTTCAGAGAAAAAGATGAAAATTTGATTTCCCTCAGGTTTCAATGGAACCTCTCAGGAATCATCATTACCATGTTTACAATCACACATAGTAATAGCGTTGTCATTATTTTCGAATTATGAGTTTGAAAGTCCCTTTGGTATCTTTCGCCTCTCTTTTAATACATTATAATTGTTAATATTTTTTTAAACTTCCTCTTAAACCTGCTGCTTTTAAAACTCTACATACAATTGAGAATGGAAATGTGGAATGTGTCAAAGAAACAACAACCCGACCAAAGAACAGAAAACAGCCGAAGGCCACCAATGCGTCTTCAACACAGCGAGAAAATCCCGCACCAGGAGGCGGGCCTCAGTCGGCCCCTAAATAAAAATGTGTACTAGTTCAGTGAAAATGGACGTCACACTAAACTCCAAAACATATAAATGAACTAAACCAAAAAAAAAAACATACAAGACTAACAAAGGCCAGAGGCTCCTGACTTGGGACAGGCGCAAAAATGTGGCGGGGTTAAACATGTTTTGTGTGATCTCATCCCCCCTATACATCTAGCCAATGTAGAATAAACAAATACACAGCAGTACGCACAGTAAAACTCAGTTTAAATGAAGTCCGTGTCCGATGTCAGAATAGGTAACAAGAAAAACTAAGCAAAATGACAATGATACATAAATCAACAAAGGACTACTAGCAGTTACTGACGTGCCAGCTTCAGACCTCAATTAAACCGATTGAAAGATTATGTCTTCATCACATGAAAATCAAGCACAATCCTCCCGTTAGGGGTTTAGTATCATACCATCATAAAATATATGAGAAGAACATAACCCGTATCATGCAAACAACTGGTTTTAGAATAAATGTGTTTTTTCCGATGCAAAGACCCTATGAGTGAATCAATATTAATACCAAAATATGCCATCTTTAATGACCTGACAACAGTATCGTAACTATATCCCTTCTGAATATGTGTTTTTAAAGGTTTGGTTAGCTTTTGAGGTGAGTGTCGACATTTTTGTGCTTAGTAGAGAATATTACCATAAAAGATTGGATGTGAAATACCTGAACGTATAAGATGTCTGCATGTTGACATTATGATGTCCTTGTGCCGATGATAAAATTTAGTAAACGTTTTGACTAGTTTGTGATATCGAAAACCCTGTTGTAATAATTTTCAGTAATACAGAGATATCTTTCGTTAAAATCAAATACATTGTTACATACACGATCGAATCGAAGTTGAGATATATAAACACCATAAGATGGTGACAAGGGAACGTCACCATCTAAAAATGGATAATTAACAATAGGAAATGAAAAATCATCTCTTTTATTATAAATTTTGGTATTAAGCTTCCTGTTAAAGATAAAGATATCAAGATACAGGAAAGGGCAGTGTTCATTGTTAGTATTTATTAGCTTTATTTAAAGTAAGTTCAGCAGGATAAATCTCTTTAGTGTACATACTGAAGTCGTCATTATTGAGAGCCAATATATCATCCAAGTATTAAAAAGTGTTATTAAATTTTTGTATCAGATGTTGTTACGATGGGTCTTTGCTGATGTTAGTCATAAATTGTAGCTCATAACAATACAGAGACAGGTCCGCAATAAGGTGCACAGTTAGTCCCCATCATGATTGATGATATGAAAGAAGAACCCTTTTTAAACCATATATCGAAGAAAAACAGACTATACCATGGCAAAAAAATATGAAGAAAAACGACGACAAGACAAACAGTAATCCACAAAACTCTTCAAAGAAAAACAAAACTTTGAGCAACACGAACCCCACAAAACTCGGGGTACACACTCAGGTGTTCCAGAAGTGTCGGCAGTTTAAAGGCTGCTCTTCTACAACACCCATCGCGTTACTCCTGTTCAAACCCATTGATAAAATGATAAAATATATACAGTTATTGGTTAATGTCCTTTGTCTAACTTTAAAACATTACCCAGCATTACATGAAAAAAATTCTTTAACCCTAAATATATGTATAAAAACTCATCTGTTACCAGTCTTATAATTTGGTACGCCTACATAAGACTCATCAGTTGCACTCGAAACAAAACAGTAAGAATGCCAAATCAAATACGAAGTTGAAGACCATTGAGCCGATAAGTTGTGCCAAATACGTTCAAGGCAATTTCTGCCATCGGGTAGAAAGACCCTAGCATTTCGAGCAATTTAACATTTTATCAACAGTAATATCAATATCAACGACATTTTATGTTAACACAAAAGTGCTGACTACTGGGCTGGTAATGTACCACCATCAAATATACCAGGCTTATAATAGTGTACGCCAGACGTGCGTTTCGTCTTCATAAGACTCGTCAGTGGCGCTCAAAACAAAATAGATGGAAGACCAAATCAAATACCAAGTTTAAAAAGCATCAATATCCGAAAATTCCGAAAAGTTGTGGCAAATGTAGTGAAAAATTGACTCTTATGATTGATTGATTGATTGTTGGTTTTTAACGCTTTATGGTTTTCAGAATCCGTATGCAATGCCAACATATAAGTATCGACAGGATGTAGGAACACAATGGTCAATGATAGCAATTCCGTTTAGTAATGTGACAAAATAGAATGATTTTGAAAAAATAACAATTAAGACAAAACAAAAACAACAGAGTTAATGAATTTATATTATAAGTGGTAAAATGGCTACCATATATACATTACGATCGAATCTATTGGGCAACATGGCAATAAATAAAAGTGTTCCCTTTTCCACCGTCAACTGTCTATTTTAGTTCGAATCCTCAAAGTCTAGTCCATATTGTTTGCTGTAGTATAGTTTTCCATCCTTCAGACGGATGCCAAGTGCTGCATCTTTAACTGCAAACGGAAATGACGCGTCTGACTTTGGCATAACAGATTCCGAAGCTGCCATCATATCGACGATTCTCCGGAATACGTTATCCCAGGACGTAGAGTCGGTAGAACATGGTACTTCTTTAGGTGTTTCTACCAATATGCGTCGTTCAGATGGTACCTGAAATGAATTAAATACATTATTGATATTTATATCGCTATTTTTTTAATCTTGCAATACACCTTTAATATACAAGTACTGGTGTAAAGATAACCGCTGAGGGAGCATTATACTCATAGTATACTGGGGGGGGGGGGGGGGGGGGTAGGACCTTTATCGGGACTCCGGGATCGGGTGTTTTTAAGCTCGGGATTTCGGGATTGATCCTTTCGGGATCCGGGAATTCTTTTTTCGAATTTCGGGATGTCGGGATTTAAATTTTTTTAAATTCGGGACCTCGGGATTTCATGTTTTAAGCCCGGGATTTCGGGATCAGGACCCCTCCTACCCCCCCCCCCCCCCCCTTTCCCCCCCTATACTGGTATCCTGCTTCTCGTTTTGCGAGCGAACGGTTACATTCACTGTTTATTTCCGTGTTTAATGTCGTGTCAATTTCATTCGAAAACAAATTCACTTGTTTGCAAGTAAAAAACCTATACATTTTAGCGTTAATGTTAAGTTATAGGATAAAAAGTTAAAACAATATTGAATTCGTACATTGCAGGAAAATATAAAATGTATTTGTACTCGCTACAAAAAAAGATGAAAAGTTCGGCGAACTCGATTTTCTTCCGGTTTCTTTAGCTCGTACAAATAAATTTTATATTTTCAAACATTGTACGAATATTGTATAGATTAATTTTGCACTCTCAAAAATCAACACTTTGGAAACAGAAATTGTTCGGAAATTCAATATGAGACACAACTTGAGGCTCATGGTCAACAATCCTTATATACCTAGTTGAAGAAGTTCTTTCATGTTATCTACAATAAATGTTTGGGTTTGGATAAAGTTTTGCACTGTGAGGAGCAATACCTCTAAACAAATATGGATTGAAATTCAAAACTTCAAAAATCTGATGTTTCTCTTCCCTTTTCTAATCTTTCTGGTACTGATAAGAAATTCTGTAGTTTCCCCACATATTATTAGTAACTATTTATAGCCACCACTGCCCTAGCGCTTGATATGTTAGAAATATTGAATTGAGTGTCATTTAAGAGGGACTTCTTATCGAGACATCAAACGTGTTCAGTTTAAACCCATTTGGACTAATGTCTTGTATATATAATATATATGGCTTCAGAATTTTTATGTTTTAAAGTGTCCGATCAGAATTTCAAAACGCTTTTGGTGGCAACATTTATATTCTCATCGGAACAAAATGAAGAAATTTTGAAGAGAACCCTCAGTACATTATTCTTAAAGTTTAGATAAATTTGGCCTAGTAATAGTTTAAAAGGCAACAAAGACTAAGTTTAAACCCTTTTGCCTTGTATAGAGTTGTAGTTGGAGAGGAGAATAAATTTGAAAATTGGCCTATATGAATCCATGATTGCCTCTGGATGCCATATTTTCAATCCGATCGGACGTGGCTATGCATTTTTTTATTCACAGTATACGTACATCCCGATAGCCACACAGCCCTCCAACGTTATCCCGTCTGTTACTGTCGAACCGGAGAAGTCCTGTCACGGACCATACTTCTGTGTCAGGAATTTTTTGCGTTTTTATATATAGTTGTTTTCGTGCCGAGTTTCTTGTAAGCATATTTTACCCAAGCAGAATAAACCTAGCTGTAGATTAAAGGTGATACTAAATGTTAAATTTAGTTGGTGAAAAGGAAATGACGCCATCATATATCAAGTTATTGTCTGGGGTAGAGAAAACAATCGGCTGTTTTATTTGATCTCGTACAATAAGTTGAAGATTGTATACATTAATGGTTTGTTTTTACTTTGGTTTTTGTAGACTTAAGTGCTTTTCCTGTAGATATTTTGTCTTTTGTCTTTTTGTGTATTTATATAGTACCTGTACTGATCGAGATTTGGAAAAAGAAGATTGATATCTCATTCATTGTTTGTGACGTAATGAGACAATCAAATATCAATCAGGTGCCAGGTCAGCAAATAGCCCACTATTTAACCGAAGACTTTGAGACACAGGTACACACCATTAGACTAAGAAGCCTGATTTTTTTTTCAAAAACCTTAATTTTCTTGTCTTAAGAGTCGCAAAAAAAAAAAAAAAGTGACTATGTCAAAACTTTAAGACATACATGTATTATAGACTAGTCCACTTATATCAAACAGAAGCCCACACAATGATCAACTACAATCCGCTTTATAGAACATGTTTTATATATATATATAATATACTATAACATTTATTTACTGAAATAACTTACAACGTCATTTGGAGCTTTGGTCATTTTCACAAACGCCGTAGTTTTACTTCCAAGAGTGTTTGTAAGTGGTCCACTTCTACTCCTCTCTTCTCTGGACGCAACTGTCAACTGTTCGCTGGTTTCTTGGGCATTGACATATGGATCCAACGTTGCGTCATTTGTTGTTTGTGTGGCATCATCATGTCGATTATTAACATCAGGCACGTGTGTTGGTGTTGCATCATTGAGATGGATATTGGGAAAACTATAGGATCTAGATCTGTATTTGTGTAGCCTCCTAGACTCGTCTACCGAAACAGCAGTGGCTTTTAGGTCAACTTGACGTTTAGGATTACCTACATCAACGTCATCCAATAAATCTTTTTGTCTAGCCAGACGTCTCATTCTTGCTCGTCTATTCTGAAACCATGTGCTTATAAAATTTTCAGTTTTCCCTATTGCTTTCGACAATCTTACTTTTTGAGCCCTGTCTGGCCATTTTGAGGTTTTAAATAAACTTTCCAGCTTTTCAAGGTCTTTGGAATTAATTATTGTCCTTCGGCGTCTTTTTTTCAAAACGAAATGTTTGTTTCTCCCTTTAGATTGTGTGGACTCCATTTTTAACCCTTTTTAAACTGGTATCCTACTGCCATTGTGTACCAGTTTTACTCTTTACAACCCTTTTGAGGTTTTTTGTAGGGGGTTTCTCAGAAGTCAATATGAATACACACGAGTGACATTAAAAATTAAAAATGATCATTAATTGATTGATAGGTTGATTGCTTGAATGGTTAACGCGAAGTAATGCAAATTATTTCTTATTTTTTTTTATTGAATATCAAAGTGTTCATACGAAACAACAAAGATGAAACCGTACCGTGAAATCCGAAGTGATTTTGTAAATCACATGCGATGATGGCATTTTCTTTCGTCCTGAATGGTTCATTCAACTTTATGTCACAGACATGAACAGAATTACCAGAAGAAAAATACCATCGGACTTGAAGCTACATGTAGCTATACAGAATTAATCATATTAAACTGTCACTTGAAAACTGAACAGCAACTGTACTCAGTGGAATATACGGAGAGATGAAAAAAATAGGCAATTTTACAGGAATTTTAACATTATGTCTATTAATCAAAATATTCTCTTTTTTAAATATTTATGACGTCATGCAATACAATATTATTATCGGCATATAATAGATGAGCAAAGGCAATAAAAGTATCAACTAATATGTGGGTGTGGATGGAGTTTACAGAATATAGAATAATCAGCAAAAAAATTATGAATAGAGAAATATGAGCAAAAAAATCACGATTAAAGAATAATGGGTTGCAAAAGAATAAAAAATAATTAAAAAAAAAAAAAGAATTAGGCAATAAAATACTGATTAAAGAAATGAACCATGTACAGAAGTAAAGAAATTATGCTATAACAAATAAATCTAGTAGTAAAATGATTTTCATGAGAATTTTAAAGAATAAGCGTTATTTTTAAAGATAAAAAAAAAAAAATGCCCCAAAAATTTATGAATGCAGAAATGAAAGACCCTCATCCAGACCCTCATATATATTATATGCAGTAACAAGCAACATATATGACTAGACACCTAAATTTGACGATGGGAGGCTTTGAACAGTCTGCGAGTAGAAGAACAAGAACACTTCTTTACTCCCCGTGAGTTTTGAACTGATTACAACCACATATAGTAATCTATGTCATTGTAATAGTTCAAGTTTCTCATTGTATTCTATAATTTTTAGAGCATTTATGTCCATGCTTTATAGGGGGTCTCATTGGGCACTTTATAGTATTTGTCATATATTCTATGTTTTATTTTTTTTTATCTATTTGTTGCCCTTAATTTATTCTCTATATCTTGCCCATTATTAATCCATTCAGTATATAGAAACTGGGATTAGTACACCAACATATTATAGGTGGGACTATTATACTTAGTATACTAGTCCCAGAGTATAGTCTTAGACAGAAAATAATGAAGACCCCTTCTTCCAGACCCTCACCTATGAAGTAAAAACTCTGAAATGGTCCAAAACAAATCTTATATTTTGATGCATTTTCTATAGCATTCCACAAGAGACGTATATACATTTTTCTGATCCCACGGAAGGACAGAAAGGCACGTGACTCCACCCCAATTACACCACTGAAAACATCTGAAAAATTCAGACCGTCAAACTATAATTATTCGGGTTCCCTTTTTAGCTCACCGTGAGCTTATGCCATCACTTGGCGTCCGTCGTCGTCCGTCGTCTGTTGTCGTCGTCGTCGTCGTAAACTGTTTCAAGAATCTTCTCCTTTGAAACTACTGGGCTGAATGTTCTTTAGTGTATCTAGTTTATGAATCATATCCGAATTTTTTATCCATCAACAAACATGGCCGCCATGGCTAAAAATGTATCTCAAAAACTAAAGCATTTGGAGCAAATCTGACAAGGGATAAAAGTGTTCAATAGGTCAAGATCTATCAGCTCTGAAATTTTCAGACGAACCGAACAACTCATTGTTGGGTTGCTGCCACTAAATTGGTAATTTTAAGGAAATTTTGCAGTTTTTGGTTATTATCTTGAATATTATTGAAGATAAAGATAAACTGTAAACAGCAAAAATGTTCAGCAAAGTCTACAAAAAAGTTTTTATATGACTAAAATTGTCAATTAACCTCTTAAGGAGTTATTGCCCTTTAAGGACAATTTTACACAATTTGTTCATCATGTTTGCTAGCATTTAAAAATCTTCTCCCTGAAACTACTAGGCCTAATACTTCTAAACTTTAACTGAATGTTTCGTAAGGTAACTGGTTTATAAATTGTATCCGAAGTTTTGATCCATTAACAAACATGGCCGCAATGGCTAAAAATAGAACATAGGGGTCAAATGCAGTTTTTGGCTCTTATCTCAAAAACTACAGCATGCAGTTAGAGCGAAAGTGTCATGGAGTTAAAGTGATGAATAAGTCAAGATCTATCTGCTATGAAATTTTTAGACCAATTGGACCACCCATTGTAGGGTTATTGTCCGAAATAGTTATTTTTTAGAAGTGTTACTGTTTTTGGTTATTATCTTTAATATTATAACAGATAGAGAGAAAGTGTAAATAGCAAAAATGTTCAGCTAAGTAAGATTTACAAATAAGTCAGAGATCAAAATAGTCAATTTACTCCTTAAGGAGTTATTGCCCTTGAAACGTTTATTTTTATACATTTTTAAGTGCAAGTCTATTACTTTTTCAAAAATCTTTTTCTCTGAAACTACTGGGCCAAATACTTCCAAACTTTAACTGAATGTTCCTTTGGGTATCTTGTTTATAAATTCACGGTATCCAAAGTTTTGATTCATCAACAAACATGGCCGCCATGGCTAAAATAGAACATAGGGGACAAAAGCAGTTTTTGGCTTATATCTCAGCAGTTAGATCAAAAGTGAAAGAGAGTTAAAGTGATAAATGGGTCATGATCTATGAAATTTTCAGACGAGTTCGACAACCCATTGTTGGGTTACTGTTGGAAATATTTTTATTAAATTTTACTGTTTTTGGTTATTTTCTTTAATATTATAATAAATAGGGAGAAAGTATAAATGGTTATAAATGTTCAGCTAAGTAAGATCTAAAAATAAGTCAACATGATCAAAATAGTCAATTGGCCCCTTGAGGAGTTATTGCCCTTAAAACGTAGTTTTTTTTTTACATTTTTTGTGAAAGTCCAATTGCTTTTTCAAAAATCTTCTTCTCTGAAACTACTTTGCCAAATACTTAAACATTTTAATTGAATGGTCCTTAGGGTATCTAGTTTATAGATTGTATTCGGGGATTTGATCCATTCAAAAACATGGCTGCAGTTTCTAAAAATAGAACATAGGGGTCAAATGAAGTTTTTGGCTTTCATCTCAAAAACTAAAGCAGTAAGCGCAAAACTGACATAGGTAAAAGTGTTCAACAGGTTTAGATCTACGTACCTGTCAAGTAAAGTCTTCAGACCAATAGGACAACTTATTATTGGGTTACTGTCCAGCAATAGTTATTTTTTGGAAATTTTACAGTTTTGGGTTATGTATTATCTTTAATATTATTATAGAAAGAGAGAAAGTGTATATGACAAAATTATTCAGCAAAGTAAGATCTACAAATAAGTTAAATGCCTGAAACATGAGCCTCTTGTTTTAGGTTACAGAGCGATATGGGCCTGGAGTCAGTTTAATTGTTTTTTATAAACACATTATTCTTCCTTCATAGATTTTTCTTCTTCGCTCGTTATCTTCAATCTTAAGCAAGTTTTCTATTCGGTATAAAAAATTCTGAACTATCTTGTATATGAACCTAGATGAACTTATGAATGTTAATAACTTTGAGATGTCCCCTTGATCATTTCACCGGAAGTTGTTGAAACGACTGACAGAAAATTTATCGGTGGTCATTCACACATCCATAATATGGTAACACACAGATTTATAACATTTCACACTACAAGAACACATAATTATAAAACAAAAACATGATTAAGAAAGCGTATAAGTTATGAAATAAGATATTATCCAGAAAGACGGGAGACATTTTTGACCTTGTCCTGAGCAGAGGCTGGATTCCATCAATTTCATAGGATTCGTCCCATGATCATGATCCATGCCCAGCTGTACTAGTGTGCCCATATCATGTCATATAATAATTGTATAGAATCAAGCCATAAACTGTCGTGGTGGCTGACACATATAGATAAGAATATAGGCATATAAATTCATTTGGGTGTAACCAGAGGCAGAGACTGAGTGAGCATGATTCAAAATCAAATTACATAATTAAATGTGTCCCCTGGGAATTGAACCTAGGACCGCTGTGTTCCAAATCAGCATTCTAACAGACAGAGCAAAAGAATTACTGCCCTAGCTCAACTGCTTACGGCTGGTTAAGTATCTACTACTCAATATGTGAGCCAAAATTTGTTCCTGTGAAAAAAGTTCCAGTGGAACTAATATCACAGGAAATATGTTCTGGGAGAACTTTTTTCACAGATGATTTCTATATAATTTGTTCCATCTCTATAAAATAAGTTCCACACTTTACCTGGTGAAATACATTTGTAAGTACCGGGTTGGTGAAATTTGTTCCTTACCTGGTGAAATAAGTTCCCGGTTTATGAGATTTGTTCCTTATCTGGTGAAATAAGTTCTGGGTTTGTGAGATTTGTTCCTCACCTGGTGAAATAAGTTCCTTGTCTGTGAAATATGTTCCACTGGTTAAACAAGTTATCTTATATACTGAGCATTTGTCATCTGTGAGTTTAAAGTTATCATTCAATAAGTATTATATCAATAATAAAAAAAGTAAAAAGTGTAAATCATCCAATTCGGATCCTGTGGAGTAGAGCAAATGTTTAATTATATACTCCGTAAAAAATATCAAAATGACACGTTTCAGCCAGTAAAGAGTAGAATAAGAAAAATCAATCATTCAGAAAAAAGAATTAGTATAGTTAAAGATGAACATATGTACTTATTTGAAAAGGAAAAAATGACTGTTCAGTTATCTCGAAAGACATGTAGAAACAAAAGACACACTCTTTTGAAACTGTGCTATGACCTATGTACAGCATGTATGACTAGAACACAGGGCCATGACAGT